GTAGACCGTTGCCCCACTGGAAAACTTTGTTTATATCTTATTGGAGGTTATCCGCGTCCTCAGCAGATGACAGCCTCTTGCAGATCCTAGTTCCATCTCCGCAAAGGATGATACGAGTGCTGTGGTGTATCTCTGTTTATGTCTGATATGAGGATTAAGGATTAAGATGGGGGCCGAGTACTGTGCCTTGTGGAACAGATGCTCTTCCTCTATGGCAGCCTCCGATTTAAACTCTGTTGACCTCTAATGTTTGTGTTCGATTTTGTTAGGAAGTTGAAGATCCATCTCCCCACTTTCCAGTTTTTTCCATTTAGCACGTATTTTATGGGCTATTACGCCATGATCGCATTTGTTCAAATGCTTGTGCAAAGTCTGTGTATATTACATCTGCATTCTGATTTTCTTTCCAGTGCATCCAAGGCCATGTCATAGTGATCCCAGTAGTTGTGAGAGGCTAAGGATGCGTCCATGCCCTGAACCCATTGTTGCCCTGATTGTGCTGATTTTGGGAATCCAGGTGAGTGATTTGCATCCTGCTTCTTAGCACTCTTTCAAAGATTTTTATGTTGTGGGACGTTCAGGAGCTATTGGTTCTATAGTTCTTAGCTAATGCCTTTGCTGCCACTTTCTGGAGCGGGGCTATATCGTTGTTTTATGTGACTGTGGAATTTCACTCATGTCCAAGCTCCTCCTCCATAGTGTACTTAGGGCACGCGAGACGAGGACGGGGTTTCTTGCAGTTCTTAATGGGAAATCACAGAGTTCCACGTGTCATGGGCCGGTGGCTGAGTGCATAGGCCATAATGTTGTCAATGGCTTTTTCGAAATGTATCGGAGTTAGAGGGTAATGTCGGTAAAATCTGGCATACATTTATGGGTTTTGACCGGCTCATTCATGATGAAAAGAAATCATTGGGCGTCGATCCTCAGTCCGAATTAGTGGTTCACTAAAAACAGGGAGTCGTACTGGGATTTCAATAGTTCACTCATTTCCTTGTTGTCGTCCTTGTGTAAGTCCCATCCTGTCTGAGTATGGGCCCGATACTTGAGGTTGGTATTTGCCTTGTTTTTTGGCATATGGAAATAGAAATATTTTGGAAATTTCTTGCAATTTCACTAATTGCTTTAAAGCTCCTTCCTGCCTCTCCTGGTTCCTGTTTAGGTCATTTAGCTTAGTATCGATAGTTTCCACTTTCCCTGCGTCAGAGCCTCCTTTCGTGTTATCAGATATTCTACACTCCTGTGGAGCTCAGTGACCTTCGTCGTTCTTGCTGTAGAGGAGAGCGTCTTTTTCTCTCCCGGTTTACTCCTGCTCTTCTTCTTTCTTAGGGGAAATATGCCTAGAACATGCGTCGGCTACCTGGAAAGTTGATCCTTTAAAGGCACGGTTTGGGTTCCTTGTTATTTATGACATCTTCCCAACTGTTTCGTTTAGGACATGGTTTCATGGATCCCAGTTGATGTTCCTTTTTGTTGGAAATTGTATTTTTGTGAAGACTCCTTCACCGGTACATGCATTACTGCTGTTCAGGACCCCTTTTGCATGTATACGTCTGGGAATTCGATTAGACTTGTTGTTCGGAATTTAGTTGTTTTTGCTATTATTATGTTCTTATCAGCGTCTTTTATTTGTGAAGATAAGGTCAGTGTGTTTTCTAGCTTGTTGGCTCCACTAATTGCTGTTAAGGTGTGTTTTTTCGCTGAGAATAGTTGCTCAGGTGTGTGTGACATTTCATCTGCACTACCTCCGGGGATCTGTTTCAGCTATTACATTATTTGCTACATTTTTGCCATTTTGTAATGCTTAGGTGAAATCACCAAGCAGTTAGTCTGTTTGGGGATGGAGGGCTGGAAGGGTTTGTCCAAACAGTGATGATTTTCAGTTGCTGTTCCTGAACTGGTGGCGAGGTTGTATCTGGTGGCTTCTTGTTACTACCACAATGACTAGGTTTTGGTTCTCGATCTTTATTGATAAGAATTCAATACCTCATTTGTGGGGGTCAGCAACTCCGATGCAGATATAGGGACTCTTTGACATACAGGCCTAATCCCCCTTGTTGCCTTTTTTTTCTGTCGCATCCTTAAAAAAGGTTTGGTAACCACTTATCCCTATTTCACGGTCAAATTGAATCTTTTGTGTGAGTCTCTGTGATAGGCTGCAACTTGGCATTTGACTCACTAGATGTCCACTGATAGAAGGTATTTGGTTGTTGTAGTGGATGGCTTAAGGCCATGTATAGTAGCAATATGAACGTGGTTGTATTCTGTGTTTGTTGGGGTGGATTTTGTTATTGCATATTATAGTTGTAATTCTGGAGGGCCATGGAGAGGCCACTCCCCGGGCCCCCCACCCGCCCATCCCCCCCGCCTCCAGTCCACAAGGCTCCAAGGTTTTGGTGGACTATTTTTGTTTTTTCCTTTCCATTTTCTTTTTTCGTTTCCTGCCACTATAAAAATCACTGGAGTTGGGTAGTCGTAGTACATGATTGTTTGTCCATGTGGGGTCTGTTGCCTCCTGGTCACGGGGTTATGTGCTGACTCGTGGTCACCCAGGTATCTACATCCCTACCCGGGGTTATGTGCGCTGATTGTGTCACCCAGGGGTGCTCTAACATCTTCTACCTCGGGGTAATGTGCTGATCGTGTCACCAGGGTATAAACACTCCCTACCCTGGGGGTTTTTGTGCTTGTACTTGTGTCACCCAGGGTGTCTACACTTCCTACCTCGGGGTTATGTGCTGACTCGTGTCACACCAGGGTATCAACCTCCCTATACACAAAGAACCTCGCAGATTAAAAGACAGAAGCTTACGTCGAAGTTTCGGTCCGACTTGGACCATTGACAAAGTCACGGTATTGTGCCTTTTTGTTATTTAACACTCCCTACCCGGGGTTATGTGCTGACTCGTGTCACCCAGGGTATCTAACACTCCCTACCTGGGGTTATGTGCTGACTTGTGTCACCCAGGGTGTCTAACACTTCCTACCTGGGGTTATGTGCTGACTCGTGTCACCCAGGGTATCTAACACTCCCTATACACAAATAACCCGCAGATAAAAGACAGAAGCTTACGACGACGTTTCGGTCCGACTTGGACCATTGACAAAGTCACGGTATTGTGCCTTTTTGTTATTTAACACTCCCTACCCGGGGTTATGTGCTGACTCGTGTCACCCAGGGTATCTAACACTCCCTACCTGGGGTTATGTGCTGACTTGTGTCACCCAGGGTATCTAACACTCCCTACCCGGGGTTATGTGCTGACTCGTGTCACCCAGGGTATCTAACACTCCCTACCTGGGGTTATGTGCTGACTTGTGTCACCCAGGGTATCTAACACTCCCTACCCGGGGTTATGTGCTGACTCGTGTCACCCAGGGTATCTAACACTCCCTACCTGGGGTTATGTGCTGACTTGTGTCACCCGGGTATCTAAACACTCCTACACGGGGTTATGTGCTGGTCTGTGTCATCCAGGGTATCTAACACTCCTACCCGGGGTTATGTGCTGACTCGTTTTGGTCACCCAGGGTATCTAAACACTCCCCTACCTGGGGTTTATGTGTGACTTGTGTCACCCAGGGTATAAACTAACACTCTCCTACCCGGGGTTATGTGCTGACTCGTGTCACCCAGGGTATCTAACACTCCCTACCTGGGGTTATGTGCTGACTTGTGTCACCCAGGGTATCTAACACTCCCTACCCGGGGTTATGTGCTGACTCGTGTCACCCAGGGTATCTAACACATCACCTACCCGGGGTTATGTGCTGACATTTTTCGTGTCACCCAGGGTATATAAACACTCCTACCTGGGGGGTTATGTGCTGACTTGTGTCACCCAGGGTATCTAACACTCCCTACCCGGGGTTATGTGCTGACTCGTGTCACCCAGGGTATCTAACACTCCCTACCTGGGGTTATGTGCTGACTTGTGTCACCCAGGGTGTCTAACACTCCCTACCCGGGGTTATTATTATTATTATTATTATTATTATTATTATTATTATTATTATTATTATTATTATTATTATTATTACATGTAAACCAAACAATAACCAAATTTCTGTAAACTCAGCATTGTAATCCTTATAGAGAATAAACTTTGAATTTGAATTTGAATTATTATTATAAAGTCAGTACCCGATCAACAGGGTTGTGGTTCCAGACCTCAATTACTGCACTATAAATTATCTTCATGTTTTCTCATTTTTTTATTTATTTTTTAGGTTGTTATTATGTATGTGTAACACGTATAGTGTTTATTTCCACTATATTTTTACTGGTTCATTTTACTAGTCAGGAAATGACGAATATTAAAGCCGCAGGAAATCGTCATATCATAAGAAAGTGTTTCGTAAGAAAGTACCAACTTATCAATAATATTATAATTTTATAATAATAATAATAATAATAATAATAATTATAATAATAATTAATAATAATAATAATAATTATTATATATATATGACAATAATAATTATAATAATGGATTAAATGACAATATTAATAAATAATTAATATATCTCGATACAATGTACAGAGTTGTGTGACATTTGGATGCAATTATAATCAATTGTTTTTCAGTGTAAGTTTATTGTAGGCAATGGTACCACATAAGTACACAGTGTACTTCATATGTTCATCATATAGTTCATTAGTTAGTGTATTATGTGTACACTGTAACCCATTTTGAATGTCGCGTAAATTACCTAGGATATTCAATAGGTCAGTGACTTATTTCCACTGGGGTTCTTAGCTTTCGGGTGCAAATGAAGTTAGAGGCGGATGGAAGAGTAATATATTGTCACTTGTACAAAGTACAATGAAAAAGAGCGAAAAAAAAAAAAAAAAAATGAAAGAGCGAACATTATTATCATTGCACCTGTATGGTGAGTGATGAACCCGCAAGAGAGGCGGCACCAGCGCTGCCCCAGGGAGGGTATAAGGCAGACGTGGCAACACCGGTGTCTCGGGTGCCGGCAGGGAACGTGTAAAGCAAAACAGTGCATCATCACCCTAGCTAAGAGGAGCACGTGTCACTCTCTCCAGCGTCGCCTTCTTAACGTATTTCTCTCTCCCGGTGTGTCATACTTCTTCCATAGTGACCGAGGTGTGTCTGTGAATTCTCTCTGAATTGTCGTTGTGTTCACTACGTCTGAGCGTGATTGTGGAATTGATATTAGAGTTGAGGAAGGGTAGTGAGGATGCCCGGAACCTGCCGTGCTAAGATGCGGGTATCCTAGCCAGGTCCTCTGCCCTGTGGGCCAACTCCCAAACTTAAGCTACTACCACCCACCATCCTCCTCCATACCACACTTCCTTCCTTAATTGGTGAGTATGAGAGTTTGTGTAACGTGGCATTAATGGGTATGGAGCTGTGGTTAAGATTTAGTGTGGATACAATGGGTGTGGAAGGTCACATAGTGAAGGTTACCTGTATATATGCACCTGCAGCCACCTTGCTGGTCTGCACATCAGGAAGTCAACACATACTCATCTCTTGTATACTTTAGGCAGTATTCTCCGTCACCTAACATACCTCCGTAAATAGGTGATATATCAGGCAGTCACTGGGAGGATAGAAGCATCCACCTAAACTGTACTTATCGTCAAGAAGAAATATATCAAGGATATAATTGATGGCAGTACAAAGGGTAAAATTGCTCCCCTCCCTGTGGATGCCAGAGGAACTCAAAGATAAATGGGATCTTTTCAATGATGAATAATAATAACTTTTTTTGGCAGTAGACATTGTTAAAATTGCTTCCGTGAATGCGAGAGAAATGGAAAGATTCAAAGGTACTGTGGGCGATAACTGACTTACCAAGGTCAATGAACACTGCAGACATGACCAGAGACTTCATGACTTGTGCAGTGGGTTGCAGCTTACATGCTGGACCCACATTCCTTCATGATAGGATTATAAGAGCTAACTTCCCCCTGCCATTACTCTCTTAAAAACACATGCAATTTTCACCATGTGTAGGACAGCCAACCTATTCTTATTGAGTCGACAGATTAGTTAAGCTTTTTGGTTGGGTTATTCTTGGCTATATTTTTTATAATTTGTCGCGGATGTATGATTTAAATAATATCCTTAAGGCAACCATTTTTTTCTAATTTAATACATTTCGGAAACCTGTACATATAACATAAATGAAACTCATTCTTCTGCGTACATGTTTATAAACTTTTTTGATGTTTTCCCAACATTTACTAATAATATTTAAACATTTGTCCAGAGGAAAGTTACCTAAATACATATTTGTGCTACTGTTATTGTAATATCAAAAAGAGTTGGTAAAAATATAACATAAAAAATGACTATGGATAACAAACCCAGGATATTTTTTAAGACATGACTGCATTTCGTTTCACGCAGGATAGATTGTGCAGTAATGCATGGCGGTACAACTGTCGGGATCAAAAACCTAAAATTAGACAATATTGCACTTACAGCTTTAGGGTGTGTCTGGGTGTGATTTTAAATGAGTGGGTAGACAGTAGTGGTACTGTGAACCTCTCGTCCAAGATAAACCCAACCGTAAATATAGTTTCTCTGTTTATTTAACAGACCATGACTGAGTGTAAGTGATGGATTGAGTACTAGTAGTGGTTTTTATGATGTTTGCATGTACTCTCTCCCGGTCTACTCAAAGCCAGCATCCACATTAAAGTATGCTTTCTTTCATCCTACTATGCTTATTTTGTTATCTTAAATTATAATTAATTTCATCACACTGTGCTTCTGTTAAACTATTCAGTTTTTTTACCTTACATTTTTTATCATAAATGTTTTATTATTTTTTATTATTATTAACACATCGGCCGATTCCCACCAAGGCAGGGTGGCCCGAAAAAGAAAAACTTTCACCATCATTCACTCCATCACTGTCTTGCCAGAGGGCTGCTTTACACTACAGTTATAAAAATGCAACATTAACACCCCTCCTTCAGAGTGCAGACACTGAAGGAGTATATCTTAAAGTATGTTTCTTTTGCGGATATTCGCGTTGTGGACACGTTCCCTAGCAGCTTCATAATTTAATCAATATAGCCCACTTCACTTGTAGATGCTAGGCTACAACGCTTACTCAGCATGGTCAAGGCTTTATTGGATTATCCTACGCAAACTTTTTCTGTTTTCATAACAAGTGTGCCCTCAAGATCAGTGTAAAGAAATTTTGTATATACATGTATACACCCAACCTAGATAAAAATTTATTTCTCTTCAAACTTTTACTTAATGACATACCTCCTTTCCTATGTCTTGTAATTTACCGGTCGCATTTTATATATTGGCTTGAAATTTATCAGTAGTATTTAAATTTTGCTGATTACAGAGAATCGAGTTCGTAAAAAAGTAATTGTGGTAAGATTATATTGTATTGCTTTATTCCGGTAACCTGTACAGATATTTTACAGGGTTATTGTAACTTTCAATGATGGTTGTATTAAGTACAATATTACTATGGGCATCATTCATAAGTGATCTGTGATCTAACAAAGCCAAATAGTCTACCTACCTGGAGTCTACCTGGAGGGCATTCCGGGGATCAACGTCCCCGCGGCCCGGTCCACGACCAGGGCTCTCGGTGGATCAGGGCCTGATCAACGAGGCTGTTACTGCTGGCCGCACGTAATCCAACGTATGAACCACAGCCCGGCTGATCCGGCACAGTAGTATGTTTTATTTAATTTTTTTTGTTGTTGTTACTGTTTTTTTCTTTATGCAGAACCTTCTAAACGAGCATGGTGGGAACACGTTTGGCTCACAACCCTAGGCTAGGCCGGATGTATGGGCAAGACTTCTAACTCTTAACTGTTACCTAACAGTAAATAGATACATAGGAGTTAGTCGACTGTTGTGAGTCGCATCTTCAGAAAGAGCCTTAGAAAATTAATGAAAATAAGTCGCACAGCTTGACTTTCTTAGGTTATCCGGAGTTATCAACACCCAGGGGTTAATAATCCTCAACATGTCTTCTAATGTAGCATCTTGTAATATGTGCAACACTAATTAACTATATTATTAAAGCAGGCTGCTATTGTAGCAGTGATACAACAGATTAAGGTTAAATGTAATTTTTAATTACATTATTGTAGTTCATTTTATGTGATTATTATTAAGTGTCCGGGGCCCAAGACTGTTCAACAGCCTCCCATCAAGCATTAGGGGAATTACCAATAAACCCCTGGCTGCCTTCAAGAGAGCTGGACAGATACCTAAAGTTAGTGCCGGATCAGCCGGGCTGTGGCTCGTACGTTGGACTGCGTGCGGCCAGCAGTAACAGCCTGGTTGATCAGGCCCTGATCCACCGGGAGGCCTGGTCATGGACCGGGCCGCGGGGGCGTTGATCCCCGGAATGACCTCCAGGTAACCTCCAGGTAAGAGGTGTAAGGCGAAGAAGGTACCTATAGAACATTACGAATCATGATTTGTTTAATTTTATATAATAAAAATAATAAAAATAATAAAAATTGAAAGAAAAATAATTCATGTTAAGCGCTAAACCTACGTGGGTCATTCAGCAAGACGTGGAGTAGGCTCGATCTTATGCCCGCCGAGCGCGAGAGACACTCCCTACTTGAACTCACCTACTTTTCCCTCCTACGAATCATAGATATAGATGTAATATGAATATGGTACCTGTTATATATCTATTAATTCTTCCGGGGATCATCGCCTCTGTGCCTTCTAAATTGAAAAGAATTTAACCTGGATGTTTCAGCTGTAAGCCAGCGTTTCCCTTTTCTCTCACTAATCTTCTCTGCCTTCCTTTTCCATGCGTGCAGCCAGCAGGAACAGCCTGGTCGATCAGGCCCGATCTCATGGACCGGGCCGCGGGGGCGTTGACCCTCGGAACAACCTCTATGTAGACTTCTCTTTTTTCCACCTCCCTCCTTTCCTCACCTCTTAGTTCTTCCCTTCCCCTCCTTTCCCCACCTTATAGTTCCCCACCTCGTCCTTTCCCCATCTTCCCCTCCCCTCCCCTCCTTCCCCCCTCCCCTCCTTCCCCCCTCCCCTCCTTCCCCCCTCCCCTCCTTCCCCCACCTCGTCCTTTCCCCATCTCCCTCTCCTCCATACCTTCCAGTTTTCCCACCACCCTTTTCTCTTTCCTCCCTTCATCTTAGTGGAATGCTGAAGTCTCCCGGCTCAGGCGAACACTGTATCATCACTTGATGGAAGTCACCATAGGTAACTGAATATGACTGGGACACATAGAAAGCTTTTGTTCTTACTACGTAACTTTCATAGGCGGATGTATAAAATTTCCTTTTAAGAGAAATCTCAGTCAAATCTGGTAACATTGACCTGACTTTGTAATGTACGTGAGCGTGTTAGTGGATGCTTTTGCATAGGCACGTTTGTGCTTAATACACATATATAACACGAACATTTTAGTAGGAAACGTCCCTTTGACGGGAGCTTTATCAATTATTGGTTCAAACCCTCCATGAGCGAAACGTTTCATGATAAAATGTTCTAGTGTTACATGTACCTTACATACAGCGCTGCCACTATACATATATTACGTTCCAATAACCATACACGCGCTTCTACTCGCCTAGCTGTGTTTGCGGGGGTTAAGCGTCATCTTTCGGCCCGTCTTTCCATTCACTAACCCGTTTCAATCAAGTATAGAGTCAGGCTCCAGTGGCGGCACCAAGGTCTGGACTTAAGGGCTTCAGCCCCCCAAATAATAATAATAATAATAATAATAATAATAATAATAATAATAATAATAATAATAATGCTTCAAAACAAGTCTCCAGCCCCCCGGCGCTGCACCATCTGTTCCAATGTGTTCCCCCTCTTCATTACTCGTACATGAGATCTTTCTAACTCAGTAGGTTACTTGGGGTTTCTCTCTTGCAGTGGCGTGAGACTTAGCTCCTCTTGCATTTTTTCATGCATATACACGAAGAATAAAAGTCACAATTAAAAATAATAATTTTTTTGAGACAGGGTTTTTTTTTCACAAATTTCGGTCCGTCCTCGATCTTGATTGAGCCACAGTTAAAAAAAAGCTCATTTATGCAATACCAGGACATTTTATTATGAAACATTTCGCTCACTGAGAGCTTTGTCAATTCAGTTGGATTGACAAAGTTCCCGGTGATGGAAACTTCCCAAATAAAATGTTCAAGTGTTCACAAGTGTCTTTTTTTTGGGGGGTTCTGTCGGTACACGTATACCAGTTTGTATAACCATGTCACAACTGGGTGAGGAAAAAACGGAGAGAAAACCAGAAAACAGGTCCGGGACCAATCTTGTAGGCAAGCATCTGAACCCTCTCTCTAGATCGAAGGTGCCGGATTCTTGTCTT